GTAACGCAGTGAGGGGCCAGACCCTGGCAAACTCCTTGGCCGCTGCAAGCTGGACAGCCATCCTGCAACTAGCCCTCGGTGGCCCCTGTTCCCTCATCATTTCTCATTAGTGAGCCTTGTCCACTCGCAGCAGGGACAGAGGTCTGCAGGCAATGGTACCAGGCTTACCCTTAGTTCAAAGGAGAAAGGTCTTTTTCTGGCAGCGAGGAAAAAGCTGGAGGCAGGAGGCCTCCTGGGATAGCGCCAGAGGTCGGCACTAGCTAAGCTGAGGCTGTGTGACGCGCACCGGGCTTCTTCAGCCCAGAGCTACTCTCGTCCTGGTCCCCGGTAATGCTTTGTACCTATCCCCTTGAGTGTGACTGCAATTCAGTCTTGAAACACTCAAAACCCAACACCCAGCAAATCCGCACCCTGCTGCTCCTGCAAACGCTGCCCTACGCAGCACTTGAGCCCTAAAACTCTGGAGGCAGGCTGGACTTCTCGCCCCCCCCCCCCCCTTCCCTCCCACAGCTTACGCCAGCCTTGAAAGACATCCAAAGTCTTCAGGTTCCCCACTTGGACTTTCATTACACAACAGCCTACAGCTGGCTCTGGGCTTCCACCCTCCTCCTACCCAGTTAACCCCGCCGTGGCCAGGGACCTTTCAAGATGCTTCTCAAACCCTCTTGGAGTCCCTGAGCCACACCCCAAGGAAACTTGAGCATCCGGTCCACAGCATGAGCACTTTCAAAAGCGCTTTCCTTTTCAAAAACCCTCCCAGTCAGCTGCCTTTTCTGTGTGCTTCAGCCTTCCCGACTCCCTGACTGTGTTTGACTGGACCACCCTTTTCTGCCTCTATCCGCTTTCCCAAACCTGCTTCCCTCCCCCCTCTCTTTTCTATGACTGTGGCCCAGGGAAATCCCTTTAAAAATCAGACTCTGGCCCTAGCTAACGTGGGGCTCACCAGCTATGGCAGGAGGTGGGGAGAGCGACCTTCGAAAGAGACCTGGGCAGAAGCAGCCTAGCAGGTCCCTGGGCTCTCTGGGTCCCTTCCTCTCCCTGCTCTATGCTCCAGTCCCCACCCTGCTGCCCCTGCTGCCGCTATCACCTGTGTAGGGCTTGGGAGCTTACCTTCATGTCTAAGGGGTCTGAATCCAGGCTATGCTACCGCCAGAGCTACTCACCCCTCCCTGATGTCCTTAGCTGCTTGTCCCTGGTTCCGAGGAGCCTCAGGAACAACCTACTCTCTGGTGGATTATTGGAAGGGATGCTAGGGGTGGCTTTCTTTCTTTTTTTTTTTTTTTGCCACCAACTCGAGCTCCTTGACACTTATGCCTATCCTCTGCAGATAAAGTACCACAGAGATACCTCTAATTCATAGTACATATCCTGCAGGACAGCGACTATCCTTATAAGTCATTTTCCCCAGCCTGTGCACCTTCAGGAGGCTGTCCCTGCAGCGTAGGATGCAGCTGCTGCTCCAGGGTGTGGGTTCCTGGTTTGGGACCACTCCCGGCCACTTTACTGAGAACCGGTCTCCTTACCAGATGCCGGATATGCGGGTACACATGCCCGTGAATGGAGACTCTGAAAGCTCTTGCATGGCAGCATAGGCTGAGTGGGTAAACAAGAGTAACCTCAACCAGGAGAAGGAGGACACAAGGTTAGTTCACTACCAAGTATGCTCCTTGAAGGCCTGTTTCTTTGGAGTTTGCTCCTGGGATGGGTCCATGGCCCAGCATTCAGAAGTAGCAGGAACAAGGATTTCCGCATGTGGGATTAGAGTTTTGGGGCCCCCATGAGCCTCCAGTGTGACCGCTGCATGCATGTCCGCCTATAAGGCACACTCAGATGGGTGTCTGCACATGGTGCACAAACTGTCATGCTCATGTCACATGGCATCAACGTGATCCTGGGCCACGGTTCTCTGTCTCCATCAACAGGCCTTATCCTCCCAGGCTCCTGGCTCACCAGGACACTGGGCATTGCCTCTGGCCTGGTGTTCCTTTATCTACACCAAGCTCTTCCTGGGATAATCCTCCAGGGTAAGGTGCCACATAGTGACCTTCCCTATTTTTTTGCATTGCCTTGGTCCAATCAGGCCCAGCCAAGTTCCTGTGCCCGTGTGCTTTCCACATTGGTATCTCTGCTGGCCTCAGGGGCCTCCACCTCAGTGCTGAACAAGGACTTGAAGGGTGAACTCTGGGCCTGTGTGGCCCCAAACAAGTGACTCTCTGTAGAGAGTGGATCTCAACCTTCCTAATGCTGCAACCCTACAGTTGCTCATGTTGCGGTGACTCCCAACCATAAGTTATTCTGTTGCTACTTTGTAACTGTAACTTTGCTACTGTTATGAATCATAATGTAAATATCTGATCTGTGACTCAAAGGGGTGGTGACCCACAGGTTGAGAATCACGGACATAGGGTGTCTGGGGGCTAATGAGGTCACGCATGCAGGCAGTGAGTTTGGCCTATAGGGGGCATGCATCACCATCAGCCACTGTCCTTATCAAACCCCTGAGCTAACTCAAACTCCCTGCTTCTCCTGGCCTCCAATTTTTGGAGGAAGATTTCCAGGCTCCAAGAGATTGGGTAGCTTCCCCCAATATCATGCAGTTGAACCTTCAATGCTAGGATCTGAAGTGACCCTGGCTGGGTGTCCTCACGGAGCTTAGCCTCCTCAGAGTTCCTATGAGGGTGCAGGGAGCTGGCCCGTAGGACATGGGCACCCTGGCCGCCCTCTGTGCTGAACGCTCTACAACATTAGCACGCCATCACCATAAACAGCTGTTGGGCAGTGGGGTTGAACTGTGTCCACCCAGGGAAGTGAGCTTTGTCCCAGGTGGTCCCCAGGTGGTTCTCTGGGTGTGGGCAGCAATTAGACACATCTACAGAGGCCTGGGCAGGAACAGCTGGAGAAGAGAGGGAGACACAGCAGGTGGGTCTCCATGCTACCCAGTCCTGAGTTCTTCACAGGGCCCCAGCTGTGATTGGTGGACCAGGTCAGAGTAATGACCAATACCAGGGCAGTTCAGAGTAGGACTGGGACTGGCTAAGAACTTATAAGGATTTTGTGAAATTTTATTGGCCATCTCCCCCAATCCTGTGTCAAAGTGGGGACATGGAGGCTCCAGCCAGTAACTGAGATCTAGTGATACCTCTAAACTCCCTCCAACCCATCTCCTGAGGACTCTGGGAATTCTGAACAACATGTCTAGGTTTTTGTTTTTGTTTTTCGAGACAGGGTTTCTCTGTATTATTTTGGAGGCTGTCCTTGAACTTGCTCTGTAGACCAGGTTGGTCTGGAACTTGCAGAGATCCGTCTGCCTCTGCCTCCCAAGTGCTAAGTTTAAAGGCGTGCTCCACCAACACTCAGCCAACATGTCTAGTTTGACTCACTTCATCAGAGGTCGTTGAGAGAGCAGAACTTTGGGGAGGTGGTGGGTAGGGCTGGAACAGTGAGCCCCGCCCAGCACTTCAGGCCACAGGGAGGCTTGAAGGGCATGCTTGACGGTGCCCACGAGGTCAGGTGGATCTTGCTGCCCAGTTCCAGGACACGTTCTACTTTGACCACTAGTTAGGTGCCTGAACCCAGCCCAGCCTCTGGAGAAGTCAGTGTGGTGTGGAGGGGAGCCTAGGGGCTGTAACTGCAGATCAGGGAGGGATTTCTGGAAAGGGTATGTTGGAACCCGCCCCTCCCCCGCAGAAGCTTCCTGGGTGCCCTTGAGGGACTGAGACCCTCGAACTGGGGTGGGGGCTGGAACAGAAGAATGCCTGTCCCCACTACCCAAAGTTTTCAGAGAACCACCTGGGTTGGGGGGAGGGGCGGGTCCCCACGTGACCAGCAGCTGGCTCCCAGTGTGGGGCGCTTGGAGCAGTGCCTGGGGTCCCCCTCCCCCACACTCCCACAGACTCCATTTCTGTCGGCTTTGAGGCATCCACTGATGTGTGCCGCTGGTGACAGAGGACAGTCGCTGCTTCCCTCTCCCTCGGGCACTGTTCCCTGTCTGCTGTCTGATGTCTGACTATTCGTGGGTCCCCAGCCCGATGCCGGGTAGCTGTTTCCCTGACTATAGATGTCTGTGTGTCAGAGCGTGGGTGCGTCTATCTGTCTGCAGGGAGCTTTTCTTGCTGACTCTGTCCTTGACCTCCAGTAACTGTGTCAGAGGAGGGGGGCCAGCTCTCCCCCCCCCATGGGCACTAACGCAGCTGCCACCACCCTGGCTGCACTCGGAACTCAGTGACCTCGCTTGTCCACTGCAACAATGACCACCCTACTAAGCTATCTCAGGGACATTGGTGGCCCGAATCACGCTGCTTTGTGGGTCGCCCCTCCACCCAGAGCTGCTGAGTCCTGGGTGAACGTGCTCAGCTCTGGGCTGGGTCCGCTCAGGCTCGTTTTTCCCTTATGTAACTCCACATCTGTGTGAGCCTTGCAGGTCACCCTGGACCCTGTTCTGAGCTCTGTCTAACCACGTGGAGACCGAGACCCACAGTTTTGTACATATGAGGCTGGAGAGAACCCTATCCCTGGTGACTCTTTGAGAGACCCCTCCCCAATCCTTCTTTGGACATGTCTTACCCTAGAAACCTACTTGCCCAAAGCAATATGCGACAGGGAATCTTGGGGCGCAAGTTCTCCAGAGCCGAGGTACACCATTTCCCCACCCCACCCGGGTCCTGTCCCGAACCTCACGAGCTCAGGGGCTACGGACAAGGGTTGGGCAGGGATCATCAGGGCCGAGGGCACCAGGGCGGACGGATAGCCAAGGGACTAGCTTCTAAGTGCGACCTCAGATATGGCCCCCAACCCTGTGGTTGACTAGTGCCCCGGCCGGGCTCTCTGCCAGCCAGCCGCCGTGCGCACCCGGGCAGGGGCTCTAGTCGGCCGGCGGGCACGCGGCGCTGTCCGTGGTGCTGCCCGCGGCGGGCGGGGCGGAGGCGGGACGGAGGCGGGGCGAGGGCGCCAGCCAATAGCGGGGGCTCTGCGCGGGGCGCGGGGGGCGGCGGGCCGGGCGCGGGGCGCACTCGGCTGCGCGCTGAGCTCGGGGTGCACCGACGCGCCGCGGGCTGCTGGAGCTCGGCTTTGCTCTGGCTGCAGCAGCCGCGCCGCCCGCCCCACTCCGTTCAGATTCCGACCCCAGGACCCTCTGCACCGCCCTCCCACACTCCAGCCCAGGCTCTCGCCTCCGGCCCCGCGGACCATGCTCCGGGCGCCCCCCGGAAAACCGGGCTGGGTGAAGATCTGGCAAAGATTAGGCTCCCGAGCGGGGGCCCCACCCGGCCGCCCTTCTCTCGGCCCGCACCCTGCCCTGTGTCCCTGAGCCGTGTGAGCCTGCTGGGCCATGGAGCGCGCGCCGCCCGACGGGCTGCTGAACGCGTCGGGCGCTCTGGCCGGCGAGGCGGCGGCCGCAGGCGGGGCGCGCGGCTTCTCGGCTGCCTGGACCGCTGTCCTGGCTGCGCTCATGGCGCTGCTCATCGTGGCCACAGTGCTGGGCAACGCGCTTGTCATGCTAGCCTTCGTGGCGGATTCGAGCCTCCGCACCCAGAACAACTTCTTTCTGCTCAACCTCGCCATCTCCGACTTCCTCGTGGGTAAAGCCCCCAGACCCCGTCCGCTGCCAGAGTCCAGGGGCGCGGAGCCCAGGCTGGGCAATGGGACTTGGCGCTCCGACCTGGGGTGTCTTCTCAGGGTCCGGGTCTGGGGAGGGGACCTCTAAAAAAAACCTTAGGATGGTGGGCACGGGCGAAGTTCCTCGCCTCCCGGACCGCAGGACGGGGGCTGGGTAGGGATGTCTCCGGGGAGACTGCCCCAGTCGGCGGGAGCTCAACAAGGCGCTAGGCGCAGCAACCGCGGGTGCAGCGCTGGTTCCTGCGCCGAACCAAACAAAGGCAACGGCGCCGGACTCAGGATGCTGTGAGGACGCTGGGGTGGGGGGGAGGGGACATGGAAAGGGGATTTGGGGGAGCTGTGCTGGGGAAGGGGACCGTGAGGAAGGCGGGGGTGAGACGAGGGAAATGCTCCGAGGAGCTCGTTCTCACGTGTCCAAGCTCTGCTCCCGACTGGGGGAGGGGGGGCGGGGCACGCGGTGGGGGCCGGAGCGCCAGACACCTGTTGGGGCTGCGAGCTGCTGCGTCTCCCAGACGCTGGAAGCCGGTTTGGGCGGCGAGAGCGGCTGGCGCGGCTGCAGCCAAGAACCTTTTAAGCCAAGAAAAAAAAAAAGCTTTCTCGGTTTTTAAGCTGAGAAGGGAGGCTGTCCAACAGCCAGGGTAGGGATGGATGATTGGCTCCAGGACCAGACAGCCAGGGAGGGCATATAACCCCCCTTTCCTCCTCTGGCGGCTGGTAGGGTTGGCAGTAGCCCAGGTTCTGGGTCCAGAGGTCTTTATGTGGAGGTCCTACCTCCTGCCTCCAGGTCCAGCAGACTTCGGAGGTCTGGAGGTTTTGTGGAGCCTGGAGGCTGGCAGCTGCTCAGTTGTGGGGGTGCAGGGCAAATAGGATTGATAGTCTTAGAAAGGCGGCTCACCCTATGAGGGCCAGGTTCAACCCTCTGTCCCCATGCGGTCAGTCGGTCTGACCCCAGATCCTGAGCCATGGTCCCACCACCGCTGCTCTCTCTTAGGTGCCTTCTGCATCCCGTTGTATGTCCCCTATGTGCTGACCGGGCGGTGGACTTTTGGCCGGGGCCTCTGCAAGCTGTGGCTGGTGGTAGACTACCTGCTGTGTGCCTCCTCGGTCTTCAACATCGTGCTGATCAGCTACGACCGATTCCTGTCGGTCACTCGAGCTGTGAGTTCTGGGATGGACGTGGGCTTTAGAGTTTACCCTGTGTGCTGGGGGCACCTAGCGGACAGGGAATGGCTGCTTCCAGGCTGCAGGCAGATGCCTGGTGGGGCTTGCTCCCTCTTGACAGGCGAGCCACTTTTCGGGGACCATTAGCTGACAGTAGCACCAGCACAGGACAGGAGGTTAGCTTGGAGCTCCATGCTCTTGCAGGAGGGGGGTGTCTCTGTACAGCCTCTGTCGTGGGCAGGTCCAGAATCCCTGGACATCCTTCCCACTTTCATGCACACGGAAGGTGTGCAAACATAGCCCCAGGAAGGCCCGCCACAGCTCCTAGCTGCACAAGCTCCACTGGTGTGGAGTCGGGGCGGCTGCTGCTGCTGCTTTGCCTTCTCCCCTTCACTCACCTCAGGTCTTATCAGGGGTATCCTGAGGATCGACCTGCAAGCAGCACCAGCATGAAGCCCCCCAACCCCCGCCCCCGGTCCTCCCTAGGTCCCTTCTTCCGTCCCTTGAACCACCAAGAGAGTGGTGCAATCACAGGGTTAATGTGATGGGTGCCCAGTATAGAGCTGGCATGTGGCAGGTGTGCCCTAGACCTGTGGCTTGCACAAGCTCTGGTTGCTGGTCTTGTGGTTCCCAAGGTGGCTGTTAAGGACACTTATTTTGTCTGTCCCACTGAGGCTCCATAGCAGGACTCTTGCCCCCTTGTTTACGGGTTGCGCTTGGAGGTTAGACACGCTGTGTCTTGGGAAAGACTAGATGGCCCTGCCTCCCTACCTTTTCTAGGCATTCTTCTAGAAAAGGAGACGGGGGTACTTCTTAATTCTTATGTGTTGTGTGTTGTGTGTGTGTGGGGTCTTCAGCAGCGGGCCAGCAGGCGGCTTCCTTTCTGTATTCCCAGTCCCAGCAGCGGGAGACAGGAAGTGCTAGATCAGGGCTAGAGTCCCTTCCTTGTCAGCACAGCTAGCCGCTGAAGATGGCTCTGGCCCTTGCAAGAAACAAGAATCAGAAACAGTTATGTGTGGTGGCCCCTGGGTGTGGTGAATTCTAATCTGAGTGCCGGTGATGCAGCAGAGTAGCCAAAACAGGAGCCCATGGAACCTGTAACTGGCAGGGGACGGTAGACAGGCAAGACTCTGGCTAGCTGCGGGAGGCTCTGGGGGTTCTGGGAGAGTGTCAGGGCATCAGCCAGCCAGGGGGCACAGGCAAGGGGTGGGGGAGGTCTGTGGAGAGGAGGGACATGGCACCTTGCCCATGGCAGACATGGAGACCCAGGGGCTGCTCTGAGCTTCTAGTCCATGAGTTTCTGACCTCATGATCTGTACAAACCCCCCTGCAGGTCTCCTACCGGGCCCAGCAGGGGGACACGCGCCGGGCAGTGAGGAAGATGGCGCTAGTGTGGGTGCTGGCCTTCCTGCTGTATGGGCCTGCCATCCTGAGTTGGGAGTACCTGTCGGGTGGCAGCTCCATCCCCGAGGGCCACTGCTACGCCGAGTTCTTCTACAACTGGTACTTTCTCATCACGGCTTCCACTCTCGAGTTCTTCACGCCCTTCCTCAGCGTCACCTTCTTCAACCTCAGCATCTACCTGAACATCCAGAGGCGCACCCGCCTCCGGCTTGATGGGGCCCGCGAGGCTGGCCCCGAGCCCCCTCCCGATGCCCAACCCTCACCACCTCCGGCTCCCCCCAGCTGCTGGGGCTGCTGGCCGAAGGGGCACGGGGAGGCCATGCCTCTGCACAGGTATGGGGTGGGCGAGGCAGGACCTGGTGCTGAGGCTGGGGAGGCTGCCCTCGGGGGTGGCAGTGGTGGGGGTGCTGCTGCCTCCCCCACTTCCAGCTCCGGCAGCTCCTCGAGGGGCACTGAGAGGCCGCGCTCGCTCAAAAGGGGCTCCAAGCCGTCGGCATCTTCAGCGTCCCTGGAGAAGCGCATGAAGATGGTGTCCCAGAGCATCACCCAGCGCTTTCGGCTGTCGAGGGACAAGAAGGTGGCCAAGTCGCTCGCCATCATTGTGAGCATCTTTGGGCTCTGCTGGGCCCCGTACACGCTTCTAATGATCATCCGAGCCGCCTGCCACGGCCACTGCATCCCCGACTACTGGTATGAGACGTCCTTCTGGCTTCTGTGGGCCAACTCGGCTGTCAACCCTGTCCTCTACCCGCTCTGCCACTACAGCTTCCGCAGAGCCTTCACCAAGCTCCTCTGCCCCCAGAAGCTCAAGGTCCAGCCCCACGGCTCCCTGGAGCAGTGCTGGAAGTGAGCAGCGGCTGTCCGTCCCTGCCCTTCCGTGTGACTGTGGCTCTTGTAACTTGGCCCATGGGCGGCCCCAGGTGTGGGCCCTGCCTTGTCCACGGGCGCTCTAAATGCCATGACAGCGACAGCCTCTTAGATCATCAACCCTGCAGTGGGGCAGCCTGGTAGGCTGGCCAGGGGATGGGGGGGCGGGGGGATCCCTCACTGGTATAACCGGAGTGCGCTTGGCTGGCCTCTGCCGCCACCCCAGGAGAGACAATCTGGGGGGGGTTCCTGGCATGGACTCTGCCTCCACAGACAGCACAGTGCCAGTGGTGTCCCCTTTTGCATTTGGCGGCTGGCGTCCTCTCTAACAAAAACCTCCGTGTGTGTGTGTGTGTGTGTGTGTGTGTGTGTGTGTGTGTGTGTGTCCCAGGCTCCTGCCCCAGCGGTGTGCCCTGCATGTGCGCACACACCCACTGCACGCCCACCACGCACTGCAGCAACACCTTCCCTCTCCCCAGACAACCTGGGGGTGACGCCCTTCGCTGCCGCCTCTGTCTCTCGCTTAAGCCCAGAGCCTAGTTCCTTCATCCTTGTCCCTTCCACTCTTTGCCCCCACAAAGTGCCAAGCGCCACGGGAACCTTGAAGCCTTTCTCTGCCTTTCCCCATCCTGGATGTTTTCAGGAAGACGGAAGAGAAGAAAACACGTCTGTGAACTTGATGTTCCTTGGATGTTTAATCAAGAGAGACAAAATTGCCGAGGAGCTTGGGGCTGGATTGGCAGGTGTGGGCTCCCACGCCCTCCTCCCTCAGTGCTGCAGCTTCCGGCTGAGCCGCACCAGCTGCTTCTGCCCGCCCCACCCCCGGGCTTGGGACCGGTGGCCCTACTGGCAGTGATGCCTGCTCAGCTGGCCGAAGCCTGCCCTGCTTGGCCCCATCTGTGCAATCAGAATTTGGGGGTGGGTCCATGGGTTGTTGGGTAGTGGAGCTCTTGACTGCATCCTGGGGGGAGGGGGTGTTCCTGGGACCTTACAGGGGAGTCGGCAGGCGAGCTGGCTGGGGTTACCTGGGAGGATCGCTTTGTCGTGTCCTGTGTATTCACCTCAGGCCTCTGCATGCTCTCCCGTCCTTGTGCCCTGGTGTGCTGCCTCTGCCAATGTGAAGATACAATAAAGTGTATTTTTTTATTGGTGCTGACTTTTGAGGACTTTGTGGGAGTAGCTATTGTTCAGGGTTCCGATTGGAGGCCCCATGGAGACGAGAATGTGACCTTGGTATTCTAACTGGGGAACTAGGTGGGAGAAACCCAGGTTGCCGTCCCAGGGTTTTGTTCCCACAGAGGATTATTCCCAGCGGTGCCACCACCACCACCACCCCCCCCCCCGTCACAAAACTCCTCAAGGACCTGTAGGGCAGAGACCCAGCTGGTGCCCCTTTTCAGGAGGGTGGCACTTATGCCTTCAGAATCCAGATCTGTAGCACCAATAGAGCCAGCCTGTTCCAAGATAGTTGCTCAGCTTTCTTGCTGGAAATCATCCCCTCGTCACGGCCTTGACCTTACACGTGGGTAGCCTGGCTGGCTGTGTGCTGGCAAGGCACAGACCCCAGGAAGAAGCCTTGACCGTGCCTCGTGCCTCAAGAGAAGCTCGGGGAGGTGGTAGCGAAAGGACTTGTAGAACCGGAGAAGGCTTCTGGGGTCACGAGGACTAGGACTGCGTCTGGGCTTGCGGGGACTGAGGGATGCAGAGGTGCCATCCCGGGCAAAAAAGCCGGCAGCGGGCCATGGCTGAAGGTTGGGGGCAGTAGCAAGAAGACAGACTGGAAGGCAGATGACACCGGAGCAGGACAGCCTGGCCCTCGGTGTCATCTCTCGCCGCTGCTACCTTGGTCTTCAGAGACTTCACCCTCCCTCCTCTGAGCAGGGCGGGCACTTGCCGCCATAGCCTCCTCGCGGCTGGGCACCGTGGGGTCATCGCCCGAGTGAGGGGCGCCCGCCGCACACAGGCAAAGCTCCACGGTAGCTCAGTGCTGCACAGGGCGGGCAGCCCACGAAGCCTTCTTGTTCCAGATGTGTTCTCTCTGCAGCTGTGCCTGCATTTGTGTCTCCCAACTGCTTGCCAAGTCTCAGAGGGGCAGACTCTTCCCCCTTCTGCCTTTCTCTCTCTGGATTAGAGAGGGAGAGAGAGAGAGAGATCCTCTGGGCTCAAGCAGGATCTCCTTCCTCAGTCAAATCACTCAGGCCCCTCCTTAGCCACTTGAGTGTGTACTGAGCCTGGAGATGGATTATGGACCTTCCCTCACAGTCATTGCCCCCCCCCCCCCAGCCTCACTGGCCCAGGCTGGGTCCTATCCTGAGCAGTTAGGAGTGGTGAGAGTGGATGCCACCCTCTCTGCTCAGCACACCCCCCCCCCCTTCTTGTCCCTGAGAGCTGAGAGGCTTTGTGGCTCCCTCAGTAGGCTGGCACTAGCTCCCTCACCCTTCACCGGGCCTGGCCTCCCCGGTGGCGGGTGTCTGTCCCCAAAGCCCAGAGCGATCTGGGGAAGGACAAAGGACCGCTCTCTCCAGCCATGGGCACTTCCAGCATAGCCAGCGCCCAAGCTGCCCCTCCACCCGGCCCTACTAAATGGCTACAAATTGGAGGATAAAAGCACAGGCTTTCAAGCAATTTTGCCTTCAATCTCTGGAAACTGCCGCTCCCGGAGTCGCTGTGTGAGGACGGAGGAGGAGAGAAGAAAGACACAGAGTCTATTGGGCCCTGTGTCTGCGGCAAACAAACAGACAAACAGGCGGAGGGGGCCCCTTCTGCAGTCCCCGCCAGGAGGACACAGAGCTGTGCTGGGGCCCAGCGGGGTAGCTGCTGTTTGCTGAGCACCTACTGTGCACTGGTTGTTTGCTGAGCACCTACTGTGCACTGGTGCCAGGGAGCAGCACAGATGTGGGCCCTCAGACGGAGGTGACAGATAGAGGTCCCCTGGGGTAAGCAGTACAAGAGCTTAGTTGCCCTGGGTCTGGAAGGAAGACCAGATACCCAACAGGGGACAGACATCCAGTTGGATTGTAAGTCAGGGCCATGGCCGGGCTGAGGACCACCTGGAGGAGTGGGGCTCGGAGCCAGCAGGGTTCTCCTGGGTACTGGCTCTCTTAGTCCTTGGCACTGACCCTGAAGACGCCCCCAGAGGAGAGGCTCTGACCTTCCCAGACTAAATGAAGAGCCTAAGCTACTGGGGGTGGGGGGCACCATCAGGTAAACGCCGTTCCCTCCTCTCCACCAAAGGAGAAATGACCTAGAGCCGGGGCTGTGAGTGGGGATGGCTGGGGTCCCCTTGACCCCTGAGCCCTGTTGTGCAAAAGTCATATGGCTGCTGACCGTCTCTCTGTTCTCCGTCCTACCTCACTGCCTCTGGATAGGCTCCAGGGTGTGTGGAACCTTTCACCAACAGCTGATGGTGCTCCCGCTGGGGCACTGGTCAAGGTAAGCGCTTGTGTCCTCATAGGGACCCCTCAGTACTAAGCACATGCTCCACCGGCAGTTGGCAAGGAGCCAGCATTGAAGCTGAGCCTGATGTGGAAACCCCCACTCCTTCCTCTTCATAGCTTCCTCGCTGAGCAGTACTGTGCTTTAGAGACCACGGATGGCAGTGTCTGAGCTGGTCCCCTCTGCAGGACTCTGCCCTCCTGGAGGACAGCATCCGAGGTCCTGTCACCTGCTTGGGTGGTGGCTGGTGGGGGTTGTCCCAGGATGGGAAGGGAAGCAGGGAGAGTCCTTGACAAAGGCTCCGTTGATCTTAACACACAAAGCGTTTGTTGTTGAGATTTTCGAGATGGGGTTTTATGTAGCTCAGACTGGCTTCCAATTCATCACGTCTTCATCGAGGATGACCTTGAACTTCTGATCCTCCTGCCGCCACCTCCTGGTGATAGGATTCTAAGCATGGGCCACCTTGCCTGGTTTTTATGTGGCCCAGGGAGTGGAGCCCAGGGCCTCAAGCATAACAAGCAAGCCAACTGAAGAGTAAGGGCTGGAGGGGTAAGCCAACTGAGTTACTGCTCCGGCCCTCAAAACACTTGCTGAGCTGGGTGGTAGTGGACACCTTTAATCCCAGCACTCACGAGGCAGAGGCACACCGATCTGGGAGTTCGAGGAGGTCAGCCTGGTCTACGGAGCGAGCTCTAGGATGGCCAGGACTACACAGAGAAACCATGCCTCGATCCCCAAACAAACAAAACAATACGTAAAAGCAACACTCACTATGTGCCCTCCTCTGTGCTGAGACAGGGAGTCAGGGAAGTGGCCTCTGCCTCCCCTAAGCAGCAGGGAGGAGCCGTAGTGTCAAGGCTCAGCTGCTCAGGTGGCAGAGGGGTGTGCTTCAAAGGGACCCTGATGCCAAGAGTTGCCCCAGCCTCCCCAGGTGGTCTGCCCTGAGGCTAAAAGTAAAACCTAACCATCTTAAAGGACTATCCAGTCCTCTGCCTGCCCCACCCACGCCAGCATGTATGAGCAGCCAGGTGGGGTGGGGGGCTGGGGGGTCCCAGGCTCTGCTCTTCTGCAGCACCAGCTTCACTCAGATACGCAGTCTGGCAGGGTTCCCCTCGCCACCCTCCCCCTCCCTCCACTGCCCTCCAGGCCAGCAGGAAGTGGCTCCTGGGCCACTCTGGTCATTATCACTCCCCTGTTGGAAGTGCTTGCACCCGCTGTCAGTGGGCGACGCCACCCTAACCTGGCATTAAGTGCGTGGGTCCCACCTCCCTGCAGGAAGGCAGACTTCACGGGGTGGGTCCCGGGGGGGGGCTACTGTGTGCACCTGTACTTGGAGGGGGCCACCTACCCACTGCTTCTCTCTGTCTCAAAGCCACAGTGCAGCAAGCATGAAGTCAGGAGTGGCAGGGTGCGTTGTCCAGTCCAGCCTGGCTGCTTCCCAGCTGTGCAGCCCCAGCAGGTCCCTCAGTCCCAGAACCTAAGAGCCCTTTCTTTCCCTGGGGTTCAATGAGGACAGAGGGACACCTCGGTTTTGATGTTCAGGCCTTATGGCACGTGGATGACCACAACTGGTGTGGGGGGCTCCAGGGGCTCTAGAGGAGGCTTTGGCACCAGAGAGGCCAGGGGGGCCAAAAAACCTCCCTATATTTGGAAGGGTCACCATGGTACCAACCCGAGGACTGTGACCAGACCATAATGATGCCAAGGACAACTTTGGGCAGTTACACTGTGCACCGGGCCTTACTCTGAAACCCCCCTACCCCCTTTAAAAAGAGAACACTCTCGTTCTCAAATACAGTGAATTCTACTTGTCACGTTTCACAGGTGCGGATGCTGTGGCACAGAGTGGGTAGGCGGCTCAGCACCCCACAGCTGGCTCCTTCTTGTACCTCTCTTGGGCCAACCTGATAGCCCCCGCGTGGGAACTGCATTCTTCCCCACGGAACCTGTCCTTCCCCACATGTAGTTCTGTGGGGCCACGGCGCCCTGCTCCAGATGACCGCCGAGTCACCCCCCTCTCTGCTTGAGTTGACCGCCGAGTCACCCCCTGGGAGGTGGGGGCGGGAGGCGCAGGACTTCAGGGTTATATTTGACTATGGAAGCCAGCCTGGGACACCTGAGGCCCTGCTACACAGCAAAACAAGACGAGGAAAGGGAGCCAGGCGTGGTGTATGTCTGTGACCCTAGTTCTTGGGGGGGGGGGGGTGTCTAAAGCAGAGGGCCACCTTAGATTTGAGGCTAGCCTGGGCTATGATTGAGTTGTGTGGAAGCCAGCCTGGTCTACAGAGTGAGTTCCGGGCCATCTAGGGCTACATGGTGAGATTGTCTCAGATAAACAAACAGACTGAGATTACTGACCTAGCGGGTTTACTCTTTGAACCTCAGCACTTGGGAGGAGGAGGAGGAGGCAGAAGGAGCAGGAGGAGAAGGAGGAGGCAGGAGGAGGAGGCAGGAGGAGGAGGAGGAGGAGGCAGGAGGAGGCAGGAGGAGGAGGAGGCAGGAGGAGGAGGAGGAGGAGGAGGAGGAGGAGGAGGCAGGAGGAGGAGGAGGCAGGAGGAGGAGGAGGAGGAGGCAGGAGGAGGAGGAGGA